CGTTGGGGCCATCCCCTGCCTGCCCTCCCACTAGAGGCAAGTTCCGGGCGCTGCCTTCCCAGGACGGGGCATCGTTCCCAGGGAGCGCAGCAAGCGCCAGGAGATGTGCTGCTCTTTTGAACCATAGCTGGCAGCAGCAGCGGCCCAAAGACCAGGACCCCTGGCCGGGGGAAGTCCACGGGCACCTCCCAGGGAGAGGACAGAAACTCTGAGGGGGGACGCAACCAGCCCGGCTTGCAGGAACGAGGAGGACTGGTCTGGTCACAGTGGCCTTGGAGCACAGGCAGCCTCCTGTGCAGGGGAAGCCTCTGGAAGGCCCGGGGTCCCTGCTGCCCGCCTCCCACTCGGCAATTAGGGGAATTGTCCCAAGGGTCAGGAAGCAGCTGAGCTGCTCCACTGCACTCCCTGTGTGTCACTTCCTCTGCAGTAGCCACCCGGTGGGTCAGGCCGCCCCTGCCCGGGGACCTGGCACCCTGCTTGGCTGGCCTCCCGAGTGACAATTAGAACCGCAGCCTGGAATTTGGGTGCCTCACCCCCCTCCAGGGTATCCGGCTCCTCTGCCAGTTTCCCGAGATAATTGTCCGGGATTCAGCCACAACAACTGTCAGAGCCACCAGGGACGTGGCTGCTGCTCAGCCTTCCTCTGTGCTTAGGAACCCGCCTGGGGCTGGAGAGATCACGCCTTCCCTGCTTCTCCTCCCCAACACACGGATCGAGGGCAGTCCAAAATAGACAACCGGATGGGCCAAACAAACGCTGCGTTGGCAGGCAGCCTGGCCCGGGAGCCCTGCCTAGGCTCGGAGTGGCCGGGAGGGGCAACCTCGCCGCCGCCCTTGTTCCCACCCCCGGCCTGGGTCCGCAGAGCCCCTTCCGCAGAGGCTTCAGCCCCTTATTTGCAGGCTCAGTGGCTGAGGAAAGGGCCTCAGCCACCAGGGAGAGAGAGGCCCCGGTGCCGCCGCCGCCTTGGCTCCTCTGGGGCTGCGTGTCTGTGTGTGCGTGCACATGTGCTAATTGCCTGGAATGGCCTCCTTCCTGTAGCCCGTAGCCTTCAGCTGCTTTCAGGGCGGCTGCTGCTCAGGTGGCCCTCTGGGATCCCAGCCCCAATTAGCTGCCTTTAGAGATGACCTCACTGGGGAAGCAGCCCCGTTGCCAATTTGAGCCCAATGGGAGCCGTGGAGTAAGTCATGCCCTACAAGGCAGCAATTAGAGCAATGACAACAAGTGAGCTGGCAGCTTCGGGGGCTTGATTGGCCCTGCCAGCCTGGGCACCAACACCTTTCCAGCTGGGGCAAATGGGGGTCAGATGCCTGGCCACCCACTCAGCTTCCTGCCCGCCTGGGGCGAGCCCTTTTGCCAAGGGGGCCCTTTGCCTAGCCAACCTTTCTGAGCACTTTGCTGAAGAAGCCGCCACAGCGAGGAGCTGCCAAGCAGCCACCAGTCCTCCAAGCATGGCTAAGGTATGCAGGGTTAGGGTTAGGGTCAGAGGGCCGCAAAATGGGGCGGGAGTGGCCGGGGGCAGGCTGGAAAAGCCCAGTTTGCCATGACTTGTGCTGGGATATTACATTTCCTAAGGTGTCTGCCCCAGATCCAGAGGTTGCCTTCCCTTGTCCGTGCTCTGGGGGTGGCCCTCCGCACCTCCTCCCCAGGGGCTGGGGAGGTGGTACCAGCCTTGGCTTTGTGCCACATGGTGAAGGTGGGGGGCAGAATTGTTTGTGGCCAGGAACCCTGCCAGGTGGGTGATGCCCCTTTGGCTGATCTTCTGGAGGAAGGGGACAGCAGGTCTGGCTGGGCAGGATTTGCCCGCTCACCGCTAGACTGGCCTGGTGAGGCTCCCAGAGGGTCTGAGGGTGGGCTGAGCTGTCTCTGTGCGGCAGAGCCTGCCCTTGACAAAGCCCCGTTGGCCTTTTCTCTCCCCCGCAGAGCCGTCTGCCACTGCCTGCCCTCGCCCATCCACAGAGACAGCATATCTGCATCTACGTCCAAGTGATGCCAGGAGACAAGTGGTTTGCCACAGGGAGTCCGGAGGGAGCCTCCATTGTGCAAGTCCGTGAAGAAGCACACTGGCCTTTTCCTTCCCTGATGGATCCCAGGGACGATCAGGTCATTGCGGGCATCCTCAAGGAGCCCGGGAAGGAGAAGCTGAGCGTCCGGCAGGCGATGCACAGGGGCCTCCTCACGCATGGGACAGGCCTGGCTTTGCTGGAGCACCAGGCTGCCTCTGGCTACATCATCGACTGTGCAAAGAACCGGATGCTGTCCGTAAGAGATGCCAAGAACGCTGGGCTGCTGGACCGGGACCACTTCAACACGCTCTTGATTGCGGAGAAGGCTGTGACAGGCTACACGGATCCCTTCTCAGGGAACAAAATCTCCCTCTACCAGGCCATGAGGAAAGGCCTCCTCATCAAAGACCACGGCATTCGCCTGCTAGAGGCCCAGGTTGCCACAGGGGGGCTCATCCATCCTATGCACAGCCACCGCCTCCCTGTGGAAGTGGCCTACAAGTGGGGCTACCTGGACGCTGAAATTTTCCACCTGATCTCGAACCCTGCCAACCACACAAAGAGATGCTTTGACCCCAATGCCCGTGAGAATCTCACATACCTGCAGCTCCTCCCTCGCTGCATCCTTGACCCGGATACCGGGCTGTTGATGTTTCAGGTAATGGACAAGGGATGCATCCATCTGGATGAGAGCGCACGGAAGTCTCTGAAGTCTGCCACCGTTAAGGTCCAGGTGGGCATTTTCCAAGGCCAGGAAGTCTCTCTGTGGGATCTTCTCTTCTCCAGGTATGTCCTTCAGAGCAAGCGGAAAGAGCTACTGAAGCAGTACAAATCTGGCTCCATAACTCTTCACGATATGACCCAGGTGCTGACCTCTATCATCGACGAGGCGGAGACCAAAAGCAAGTCAAAGCCCATCCAAGCTGTGTTTTTGCGAGAGAGAAACAAAGGCAGCTCTGAGTGGGAAATCATAGAGAAGATCCTGAAGGCCAGGATGGTCACGATGCCAGCTGGTGAGTTCTGTGGACGCAAGGTCTCCGTGTGGGATTTGCTCCACTCCAAGTACATCCCTAAAGGGAAAAAGAAGGAGCTCCTAAAGCTGTTTGGGACAGGTGTTCTCACTATTGACCAGATGGAAATAGTGGTTACTGCCATTGTAGCAAAAGTGGAGGAAGAGAAGGCCAAAGTGTTGGGTCAGATGGCTGGTGCAGGCCAGGAGGAAGGGAGCAGATGTGACTCCCAGGAGACACAAATGCAACAATCCTTAAAGATGATCCAGATCCCGGTAACATCTGGGCAATTTAAAGGACAAAACATGTCTGTGCTGGATCTTCTCTTTTCTAAATATTTTTCCCAGGAGAAAAGGCAGGAGCTGTTGCAGCTCTATGGAACAGGGGTACTTAGCCCTAAACAGCTGGTGGAAGCTGTTAGGAGCACACTGGAAAAAGTAGATGCTGGTAGGAGGAAGTTCACGGTAAGAATTAAGGGTCGAAGCCAAGAAGCACCAGGGGTCAAGGAAGTCATGGCGGCGAGGTCCTCAGCCCCCCAGCAGCCAGATGATGTGCTCAAGGCCAAAATGGTCACAATACCTGCTGGAGAGTTCCGGGGTCAGCAGATGTCTGTGTGGGACCTCCTCTCTTCTCAGTACATCACCAGAGACAAAGGGGAGGAACTCCTGAGGAAGTACAGGGAAGGCGTCTTTACTGTGCAAGAGCTTGCATCCATGCTCACTGTCCTGGCTTCGCTGCATGACCTCTTCCATACTTTGGAGCAAACAGCTCCCAGAACGGGTGCAAAGCCTTCAGGCCGGGGCTCGCTTGGCCCTCCCACTGCATCCTTGGAGGGGGAAGAAGAGGAGGAGGAAGAGGAGGAGGAAGAGGAGGAGGAGGAGGAGGAGGACAGTGGTGATGAAGACCAGAAGAAGAAGGATAAGGTCTTGAAACTGAGAATGGTAGAGGTCCCTGTGCGGGAATTCTCTGGACGAAAGGTCTCCGTGTGGGACTTGCTCCACTCCAGGTACTTCCCAGAGAAGAAGAGGAAGGAGGTCTTGAAACTGTACAGAATCGGAATTCTCTCAGCTGACCAAATGGAAACAATCGTCAGGGCTGTGGTAACCAAACTAGGTGAAGGAAAAGCTCAGGAAGACCAGCATGGAAGCAGCCCTCCAAGCCGAAGCTTAGGCACCCTGAAAGAGGCAGGGGGGGTTGACCTCTCCACAGACAGGCTCAGGGAGAAAACCATGGAAAGTCTAACCTTTGAGTTTCCTGTGGGTGAATTCCAAGGCCGGAGGGTGACGGTGTGGGACCTGCTGTTCTCCAGCTACGTCCCTGAGGCCAAGAGGCAGGAGCTTCTCACCAAGTATGCCACAGGAGCGCTGCACAACCAGGACATGGTCGCTGCCCTCACTGCCCTTATCACAGAGGCGCACAGTCAGAGGAGTGTCCTCGGTGTCCCGCCGCTGTTCCCTCTGCTGCCCCGGGAGGCTTCGTACATGTTTGCCCCCCCCAGGGCTTCCATGCAAGACCTCCTGTGCCCTCAGGAACAAGAAGCCCATAACAATGGGAAGGTGACGTACAGTGAAGTCACCATGACCACCACTGTGGTTCAGGGGGCTGAGCAAAAGCCAGAATAGCCCCGGGGCAATGGGCAGGGTCTGGAGCAAGAAGTTTTACTCTGGATGCTGTGGCGGCTGAACGCCTGCAGCAGCCCTGAGGGGAAGGGGCAGGAAGGTGCTTGGGCAGGGGAGGGTCCACTGCCAATACGAGGCAGTCATGGGAGGGAGGGTCTTCTTAGGGCATAGAGGGGGAACTGATCCAGGCAACCAGTTGAAGGCTGAGCCATTCGTTAGTGCACATAGGCTGGTCTGTGCCACGTCTTAGGCTAGGTTGGAGTGGGGGTGGACCACCGGGGTGTAGGCAAACAGGGCATCACGTTAAGCCACTGTGGTGCTCGTCTGGGCATCACACATTATGGGAAGACAGGCATTTGCTTTGGTAACCAGGGCTGAGACTTTAGTGTGAAGCGCATCTGCCCCAGACCCTGTTAGGGTGGAAGGACCTGAGCGGGGGTGGTGGGTCTTGCATCTTTGCCCGTGAGCCCCCAGCCTGCAAACTCAGCAGGAATGGGAAGGGACCCATAGCCTGGCAGTTTGCCCTTCCCCTTGGCTGGGGCTGGCAAGGAGGAAACTGCGCTTCTCGGAGCGGCAGCAGGGACTGCCCATCGGCTGCATGCCAGTGCGTGCTGAACAGAGCCAGGCATCATGAACTGGCACAGCCCCATGTCTAGAGGTGGATGGTTTTCGTCCCTGGATTCCCCCCCAAGATTTTGCAAAGGCTAAACTGTGCCCAGGGCCCCCATCCATCCTGGCTAGCCCCAGGTCACCAGGTGGAGGATCAGCCTGACCTGCTGGCTAACTCTCTGGCCAGTGAGTCGTGAGGGGCTGCCCCCTTTCTTTCACTGGGGGAAGCACATCGAAAGGCCACCAAGGACTTGGGGAGGCCTTAGCCTGCTTCCGTTGGGGCCACTGCTCTACTGGAGGACGAGGGGCTGCCAGGGGCCAGGATCGGGGGCAACAGAGGCCCCTACCCTGCTGTCAGAGGGAAACCCACTCTGCACTCTGCTCTCCCGGGCCCCCCCTGCTTCTCTGCCCGGTTCTGGCTTCGGGAACTGGGCAAACCATCCGCCCCATCCTCCTCTGCCTGACCTGGGCCGGTGTGGGCTTCTGCCGCCTCCTCTGCCTCTGCGGACAGACAACTGGCCCCATCTCCTGGCTGCGGCAAGTGCTTGGCCTTCCCTGGCAAGCAGGCCTCACTCACCTGTGGGGTGGAAAAAAGCTGGTGCTCTGGCAGGAGACTTTATGCACTTCCCCTTGTGGAACCAGAATGAGATCGACCTGCAGGCAACCCCCCC